TATAGTGTTGTAATAATAATTATTTAATTAATAGTATACTTACTTTCTTTATTATATATATATATATATATATATATATATATATATATATATATCGATGTCAAGGTGATCAATTAGTTGTTTTCCTAACATTAAAACAACCTTTTTGGAAGGATTTTAGAGGTGCACCGTAATTCTACATTTTAAGGTGTCGACGTTATATGAGCTTCTTCTTTTTAGAAATTTGCATACAAATCACAACAAAAAAAATTTGGTTTTTAGAGGTAGATTTTTCTGGTGTTTTTGGCGGTTTGAAAATTGGAATTTTGAACTGGCCAAATATAAATATTTGTTTTGGAGTTTAAGCCAAGTAGAAACCTTTGATACTCACAATAAAGATTTATTGTGTTTAGAGCGATTTGAAGGTTTAACCTTCAAATTAGGGATAAAACAAGAGTAAAAAACTCGAAAGTTTTAGACCTTATTGTAAAATGTCAAAAAAGGTGAATTGTTTTTACTACAAAATTTATTTTAGATCAATAAATATTTATTTGGAAAATTTTATGAAAATATTCATTAGAGATTATCTAATCAATATTTTATCCATTTCCAACAATTCCAACTCATGATCTTTTGATAGGTATTTTTGATAATAAATGAAAGGGAAGTTATAAAAAATATATATATTTTTATATTATTAGAAATAAATCCTAATTTTTTTAAAACCTCCTCCATACCCCTTTTCACCACTTTCATAATTTTATGATTAAAATACCATTTACAGAAGTATTGGGTCTCATATGTCACGGTTCTTTAAGTGTCGTGATGCTTCAAGTGACCATCGCAGTTCTTTAAGTGACATGGTTCAAGTCATCATCATGGTTCTTTTAGTACCTTGATACTTGAAATGACCATGTGATTGTCCAGAACCCAAGTGTCGTGATGCTTTAAGTGACCATCACTGTTTTTTAAGTGTCGTGATGCTTCAAGTAGGCGTCATGGTTCTTTAGGTGTCGTGATGCTTCAAGTGACCATATGATTGTTCTTTAAGTGCCGTGAGGCATTGGCTTAGAAACTACTACGACCATCATTGTACTGGGTCGATCGTGATACTTCCACGGATATAAGACCATCGTGAAAGGTATTTTCGTTAAAAAGACATATACAGTGAAGAAAAAGATTGTAAATGAGGTTTTGAAAATATTTTTTTAATAAAAATATTTCTTCAATAATTTTTATTAAATAATCTAAAACATTTAATCTAAAATATTCAATCTAAAATGTTTCAAATAATCTAAAATATTTATTTGATAAAAATATTTAAATTATTAAATAATTGATCTTTTGTGTAGATATTATGATTTCTTGAGTTGGTTGGGGAAAGGGACATGCGTAGTATAAACTAGAAACTATCCATAGCTCTTACGAGAGAATAAATAAACAGTAGGCTCTCGCGGGACCGTGAAATGTTTTGACATTAATGAAAATGCACTGTTCTCTCCGCCCACACACTATCACTGAGCACCTGCTCATATTTCATTTCTCTCTCTAACCAGCAGCACAGTTTTATCTCATCTCTTTCTCTCTCTCTAGAAATGGCCGCCATGAGCTTCAGCTGCCGCCTCACCCCAGCCCTATCCCTCCTCTCCTCCTCCGCGCGCCGCCTCCCCCTCTTTCTCTCCTCTCCTCTCTCTCTCCTCCCCAAACCCCTCTCTCTCTCTAAAAAGCCCCAGCGCCCCCTCTCTCTAAAGTCCCGCCCCTTCCACTCTACCGCCATCAGGTCCGCCATTACTGTGGGCGAGAAGCTCCCAGACGCCACACTTTCCTATTTTGACCCCGCTGGGGAGCTCCAGACCCTGAAGGTCTCCGACCTCACCAGTGGCAAAAAGGTAATCCTCATTGCGGTGCCGGGTGCCTTCACCCCCACCTGCTCGCAGAAGCACCTCCCAGGTTTCGTTGAGAAAGCTTCGGAGCTGAAGGCGAATGGAGTTGACTCCATTGCCTGCATCTCGGTGAATGATGCCTTTGTTATGAAGGCTTGGAAAGAGAATCTGAAGATTGGTGACGAGGTCTTGCTCCTCTCTGATGGCAATGGCGAATTTACCAGAGCTCTTGGTGTGACATTGGACCTCAGTGATAAACCAGTAGGCTTGGGGATTCGGTCGAGGAGGTATGCTCTCTTGGCTGATGACGGTGTTGTCAAGGTCTTGAATTTGGAGGAGGGCGGTGCATTCTCAGTGAGCAGTGCAGAGGATATGCTTAAAGCTCTTTAGAGAGAGAGAGAGAGAGAGAGAGAGAGAGAGAGAGAGAGAGAGAGAGAGAGAGTAGTAGTACGTAGTAGTACGTAGTAGTAGTAGTAGTAGTACGTACTACTACGTACGTACTCGTACTCTCTTCCTTTCCTTTTCCTTTTCCTTTTTACCTT